CCAGTGTTGGTCTTGGTACTGGTATGCATTCTGGTTTATGTTTTTATCCCCTCATCTATATCTTATATCATCGACAGCACAAGAATGTAACAACATGCAGTTTGACTGGAGGTAGTAGTACTAATACCATACCACAATACTACTACTTTATAGGGTTAATATGTGGGGTAATGTTATGAAACCTGATGAAACGTTCACTTGTATTAATCCTGATGCTGATTCTGCTTCATACCACACCAATGTAACATTATGGTCATTACTATCAGCAGGATGGTTACCATGCATGCTATGGGGTATTGGTACAGCTATTGGCGAGCTACCACCTTATGCTACTTCGTAATAATAATACTACCAAGGGTTGTGGTATGTATATTATTATGATCTTAGGTATGCGGCACGTAAGGCAGGGCTCGAGGATGAGGACTTTAATGAGGCTTTTGGGGTTGTGGTAATAATAATAACTTAGTCATAATCAATATCATGGATATAGGATTCTGCTGCTACTTGTAACAACAACAACAACTCTGCTGATGTTGTTGTTGATTGGATGAAGAACTGGATGATACAATTCCTCGAAAAACATGGTTTTTGGGTGGGTCCTCCTCTCCTCTTTATTATTATCATAGTAGTACTAATCAGGGAGTTCTGCTTATGTCGGCGTGGCCCAATGCTATGTTCGATCTCTGTGGTCTATGTTGTGGCCATTTCCTTATGCCTTTTTGGACATTCTTCTCAGCAGTATTCCTTGGGAAGGCTGTTATCAAGGTAATAATAACAACAATCACAATCATCATCATGGTCGTCATCATGGTCATCACTGCCACTTAGGTATTTGGTCAGCTAGTGTTCTTCACTGTTTTATTCTCACCTAATGGACGGCTTGTAATGGTTCAAGGCGTAGCGAGAATAGCAAGCAAGGTAATAATAATAGTAATGATGCTTTTCTGTCATTATACATCGTTATAGTTTGGTGCTGATGAGCAACAAATAACGGATAAGTTACAATCAATGGTTGTTAAGTTCTCTGGTGGTAGTAGTAGCAATACTACTGAACACATACATGGTAGTGGTGGTAATGGATATATAGAACCAACAGGAGGTAAGAGTAAT